ATTATGTGAGAGAAGACAACGAGGAAGTGGTGGCCGACGCCATGGACTTCGAAGTGGACGGACTGTTCAGAACTGACGTGTCGATCGACACCGACCTTAATAAGGCAGAGCCTGGAGCACAGGTAGCCGTGAGAGTGAATACAAAGCCGGACGCGTGGGTGGGTATAGTAGGTGTCGATCAGAGCGTACTTTTGCTGAAATCTGGTAATGATATGACGCGCGAAGCCGTGATCCAAGAGTTACAGACATACGACACAACATTTACAGACAATTATTGGGATGGCTACACATCCAATGCCCAAAAACTATTCAATTTTTCGGGTGTTGTGGTCATATCTAATGGTCTCGTTTATAAAGACTATGGTGAGTTTAGTCCTAGTTTATAATTATAAAACATAAAAGTCTATAATTGAAATTGTGTAAAAATTTTATTGTATTTTAGTATCTATAATCAATGAGTTGAGAATGATGGCAGAAACAATGGCCGTAGAATTACAGAAAGACAGCAAATTAGACTACCTTTGCACCAGATCAGCAAAGTGCGTCCATCGTTCGGTTCAGCATCATTTGGATCGCATACCCAAAGCTGCTCCCCAGCGAGTGCTAACCAATATCACCGCTATTGCTAAAACTAGGAAACATTTTCCCGAAACTTGGTTATGGACCTCAATGCAAACAGGGTACTTTCGCATAAATTTTTAAAAAATCAAACTTTACTATATTATTAACTAATTATAAACTTGATTAACTAATTATACTGAACTTATAATAAAAATTGAATTCTTTAGGAGTAATGGTTGCGCTGTTATCAAGAGCACAATCCCCGACACAATCACCTCGTGGTTCATCAGCGCATTCGCTATGCATATGGAGACTGGTCTGGGCATTGCACCCACACCTACGAAAAATTCTTTAGGAGTAATGGTTGCGCTGTTATCAAGAGCACAATCCCCGACACAATCACCTCGTGGTTCATCAGCGCATTCGCTATGCATATGGAGACTGGTCTGGGCATTGCACCCACACCTACGAAGGTATGGTATTAGGGTTACCCAAAAACAAGTCATATGTAAAACAATTAAACTTGATTTTGGAAACCTTAGGTCACAGTTTTCCGACCGTTTTTCATCAAACTATCGCTGCCTTACTCTATAATAAGAGGCGAAACAGTAGCCATTGAGGCCATTGTCTTCAATTACACCACAAAACCAATTCAATCGGAAGTAGTATTTGATAACAAAAAGCAAGAGTTTGAGTTTAGCGACCAATTGGACACAAAAGGCGTAAATGTCTCTGAAATGAGACAATTGGTGTCAATCCCTGCCAACGATGGCGTTTCGGTCGCATTCACGATAACACCGAAAACTATGGGTTATATTGACATCAAACTGACGGCTAACTCAGCCATGGCTGGAGACTCTGTGCTGAGGAAACTACTGGTGAAACCCGAGGGTCAGACACAACACTTTAATCAATCAGTTCTCGTGAATCTGAAAGATTCGGCGAATGTATTGACGAAACATATCTCAATAGTTATCCCGAAGATAGCGGTTCCCGGCTCTCAGAAAGTATGGCTGACAGCCATTGGGGACATAATGGGACCCATTGTTCATAATTTGGATGATTTACTGCGAATGCCATACGGATGTGGCGAACAGAATATGATGTAAAGAATATTCTTTAATATATATTTTGCACAAATATTAACATTTTGTTTATAATTAAAAATATTTTGCAGTAATTTTGTGCCGAATATCGTTGTATTGAATTACTTGAAACAAACGAATCGATTGACTCAACAAATCAAATCGAAAGCCATTTCTAATATAGAGATCGGATATCAACGGGAATTGACTTATNAAAATATTTTGCAGTAATTTTGTGCCGAATATCGTTGTATTGAATTACTTGAAACAAACGAATCGATTGACTCAACAAATCAAATCGAAAGCCATTTCTAATATAGAGATCGGATATCAACGGGAATTGACTTATAAGCGAAGGGACGGGTCGTTCAGTGCGTTCGGCGATGGGGACAGTAGTGGCAGCACGTGGTTGACGGTCTTTGTGGTCAAGGCTTTCATTCAGACCAAAGGGCTGGTAGATATCGATCACGATGTTATCGATAGAGCTAAAGCGTGGCTACTCAGACAACAGAATAGCACCGGTAGTTTTGACGAACCGGGCGTTGTGTGGCATAAAGCTATGCAGGGCGGGGGGTCTGAAGGAAAGGCAGTTTTGACGGCTTATGTTCTCATTGCTATACTTCAGGATAACTGTCCCAAAACAGAGACCATAACTGCCATAAAGAAAGCTAAAAGTTATTTAGAAAATAAGTGGAAATCCACACAAAATCCGTACGACTTATTGATTATGAGTTACGCCTTATGTCTGTCCGACAGTCCCCTCCGTAACGATGCCGTCAAACGAGTGGTGAGTATCGCTAAGAAGAGTACAGACTATATGTGGTGGGAATCGGATAGGGATGCGGACAGGGATGACAAAAAGGACAGACATTCGGCCCACTTTTGGTACCCGCGCTCACACGACGTCGAGATGACAGCCTATGGGTTGTTGTCATTGATGACCGCAAATGAGATACAAATCGGGGTACAAGTGATCCGATGGCTGGTCTCCAAACAAAACTCTTCGGGAGGTTTTGGATCGACTCAGGATACTGTGATCGCCATACAAGCTATGGGAACGTTAGCCGAGCGCCTGTCGCACGCGAATCCCTCATTGGATATTAAATTCAAATACTTTTGTGAAGACAAACACGAGTCGCAAGACATGCGAACACAGTGATCGCCATACAAGCCATGGGAACGTTAGCCGAGCGCCTGTCGCACGCGAATCCCTCATTGGATATTAAATTCAAATACTTTTGTGAAGACAAACACGAGTCGCAAGACATGCGGATCGATGGCACAAATATCGAGGTCTTACAGCGCGTGGATCTGCCCCTTAGGGCCAGTAGTGATGTGGAAGTGGAAGCTCGGGGTCAGGGGTCGGCTGTAGTACAGGTGTCCTATCAGTACAATCTGGCCGTCGATGGCGAAGAGCCGGCATTCTTCGTGAGCGCTGTCGTCGACAAGACTTCGACTCAGAGTTATCTTCGGCTTAATGTCTGCACACAGTTTAGTGTCCATTGTTTTTGTGGTCATTTTTGGACTTAATTTTAATTTATTTTTACTTAATGTTTAGAGCGTGGATCTGCCCCTTAGGGCCAGTAGTGATGTGGAAGTGGAAGCTCGGGGTCAGGGGTCGGCTGTAGTACAGGTGTCCTATCAGTACAATCTGGCCGTCGATGGCGAAGAGCCGGCATTCTTCGTGAGCGCTGTCGTCGACAAGACTTCGACGCAGAGTTATCTTCGGCTTAATGTCTGCACACAGTTTAGTGTCCATTGTTTTTGTGGTCATTTTTGGA